TTAGTCTTTAGTGTTTGATTATTATACTACAGTAATATACAGAAAATCGTGGTTCTCGTCCGCGGCAGCCTGCTCGTCCATCGTACTCTTTCTTGAATTTTTCAATTATTTCCATCGTGTTGTTTTATCCATTGTCTTTTTTTTTCTTACGAATTTCTATCGAATTTCCAGTAGCGTCGCTAGACGAACAGGCCCCCGAGGCTCTCAATTAATATTCAATAATTACAATACACTAAATATAATCGGCCCGTGTATATTAAAATATAAATATCAAATAGACTTCTTGCCCCCAGGATATATGCACCTAAATGCCGGTGCGCGACTTAAAAATTGCGAAACGTTCGTTAAGTAAGTCGTCACCGATTTGTTAAGACCCCTGTTGTCGGAAGAACACGCGAAGCTCGCCACTACTAGTAAGAAAACAAAATTTCGTTGATTTTAAACGAAGATAAAAAACAGCCAATGTGCCATTTTCTTTACATTTTTCCAATCGAGATGAAAAATAATATTACCATTGGAAGTAGTAGCGAGCTACACTGCGACGAGATTAGAATTTTTTGGTTTGCCTAGACGATAACAATGTTTCGTTAACTTCGTTACAGTATCGTGACGTTGTCGTACGATCGACCGTGACAAAAGCAGCCTTGGAAAAATTTGATATTTGAACGTGGTGCAATTTAAAGCCTAAGTACTTTTGATTTGTCTGCTGATTGATTCACGGTTGTCGTTCGTTTCCGTCGCTCTCTCTTCAACCAAGCGTTTTATTGTCGGACACGCGAATAAGTACCACCGTGCGGTGTTCAGGAGTTTGCCCCCGGGGTGGCGGCACAGTCAGAAAAGGGCAACTGCCCGCAATTCGCCCAAATCTTCCGCTAGGCGGTGCTATACGATTCAATAACGACAATACGTGTGCCCTGTTTCTATGATTTTTTGTTAGAGAAGGTGGGCTTACGGGGATGCAAGCCCAGAGGCAAACTCCTGAGCTCCACACAGTAGAAGCCAAAGGACCATGTACAGTTGGTGGAAGCGATATATAGCGAGGTCGTAAATTGAAGCATTAGCATGTTATTTGTGAATTGATATATCAAATTTCTGCTTAAAATCTTTCTTTAAAGCTATACGATATTAAGCTTCATTCTCAATAGCAATACCTTTATTGGTAAAAATTAACCCTCCATAGGCAAACTGGATAGTTGTGTTCAAGTCTAATATTTGACTGTTTTAAGCTTTCAAAAAGACTTTACCATCTCACTATATCGCTTCCACCGACTATACACTCGTTGTCTCGGTCGATCGACTAAAACGCCAGGCAAAACCGTAACGCAGCGAAATTACTTTCTCGTTCTACGTTAAACGTTCCAACTTTCGGCATTTATAATCTTTCGTTTCGCATAGTGTATAACAGCATTTTCTTCGTTTGAACTTAGAGAATCGTTTTTCATCGGTTCTGCGTAACATTCGACGACGACACACGATTCGACTCGTTTTTTAGTCCGTGTATTCGTGCGCGAACTATTTCCGAGACCAAACTAAACCTACGCTTTGTACTCTGGTCGACCTCTGAAATAATTCGTCGCACGCCGCATGCAATTAGATATTTTCCATTTTTTTTTTTCCTTTGCCTTATACAATTTTCATATGTATATAGAATATGTATATGCATGTATGTATAGAAACAGAGGGAAGTGGATGTTCAACGCGATTTTCACCGCGAAACCGTCAGACTATCGAATCTACTATAAAAAAGAAAAAAGAAAAACCCAATTAGTCCAGTTGGTGGAAATAAAATGGTAAAAAGATCCTTGTGCTTGGATCGTCGATATAAGGCACTATCTACTTACTAGCAAAGAAACTTCACTGTCGCGTAGATTAGTAAATTTTCCATCGTTTTTTACAGGCCACGAGTTTTCCAAATGTAGAATACAAATGAAGTACAACGAAACGTGTGAATAATTGACAGATTCGAATTGGTCTCGGGACGATTCGACGCGGCGGAAATCGGCTGAACACCGGCATTTTCATTCGACGACCGTGCACGGACGCCATAACGTATAGTCGATGGAAGAAATATATCGAGGTGGTAAAAAGACGTCGTTGAGGCGTGGCGAAAATTTACACGTTCTCGAGCGTATGAACGACAGAAACAACCTGAGAATGACAAGGGCTCGAAATCTCAGTCAGGGCTGTATTAAGTATGCCTTACCTTTGATTCA